AAGTCACTTTGAAATGAAGGACGGTTTTGAAATACTCTGACTAATCTGCCAACAGGGTTCAGAAAAAATGGTTTTGAAAAGAAAATATGCGTATTTTTTTTTAACCTTAGAGTGCCAAAATATCCTGGGTTTATATCTAAAATTATAATTCTGGAAAAATCTACACCAAACCCTTCCTAAGGTCAGCTAGATTCTGTGAACAGTTTCACCTGCAATTAAATATAAAGATGTGTCACTGCAACAACAGTATCACTAAAAGTGTCAAGAAACAGGCCTCACCTTAACCTCTTAAACTGGGGTTTAAATAAATAAACCCGAACCTTGGCAAAGGTAACCCGCTCTCATTTTCCTGTTAGGCTGTTCTCTGCAGTGCAGGGCTCCAACATAAACTGGCTGAACTAAATATTTTGTGACCTGTCTACCTAGGTTCAGCTGGAAGTTCAGAGAAAATGGAGGCAGTGGCATTTAAGCAAGCACTGGCGACAGCATCTCAGCACCTCAGCGAGTAACGGGGGAAGCGGCTTGACTCAAGAGATGCAGGTGGTGAGGTCCAGCCCACCAGGGCACAGGAGAGGAACCCTCCAAAGGTCAAGTGTGCTTTAACTCTGTGCACCTGAGGGTACCTCCATGCTCAGATACACGTGGCTGAGTCCCACGGGCTGAGCTGGGAGTCCTGTGTCCATACCCAAAGCGGGACTTGGCTGTAGATCAATGGTTCTTGGAGCGCATCTGTTTGTGTACACCCTGTGCAGCACCATGGTTATTTTGCAAAGCAAAATGGGCCAAAATATTATGCTCTTCCTTGAGTTTCTGCCCACAGTAATTTGTGTTTCTTTCCGCACCTGCTGCTAGTTCTACGTTAAATGTGACTTTCCATTTTCCTTGTGGCTCTCCAGCATGTCCCAGGCTAAGTCAGGCTGGTGATTTTTTGATGTTCTCTATTTCTTCTGCTGTAGAATCTGGGAGGACACTGAATTTTATATGATGAAGGTTACATGCCATCTTCCATGGGTTTGAAATGCAAAATTAATTAATCCCTAGAATTTATCAAGGTTCAAAGCCTTTCTGTTGTGGTGATGGATGAATGGATGATGGACACTGAGAACATAAGGTACAGCTGAGCTCCAGTTCCCTCTGACTACATGTCCATTGCTCCAGTGACAGTGGCAGGTTCAGACAGGCTTTTGACTTTGCCTCTTTTAGGTGGAGACCTTAGAAACAACAGTGGTCCAATTTGGATATTTGTATCATTTTGAAATGGTACAAAGCTATTACAACATATTCCAAGGGTGACCAGAAAAACTTCAGTAAGATAGCTCATCCCTATTGTGTCTGTACCTCTGAGACTTGACCAGCTTGTATTTGAAGGGAAGAAATGAAAGCTCTTGAGATATCTAAAGGTTAATTAAACTGGACAGTAGAAACTATCTGGTGAAAAACAATACCATAGTGGCTACCAGAAACCTCTTTAGAGTCTACAGTCCCTCAGTGTACTGAAATCTGCAAGGCTGTGCACTGTAATATGCTGTCAAAAAGTATCTGAGCTATCACAGCTTTATGCTCTTAAGGGCATAATTAAGCAGATTTCCCTGTTTTGAGTGGGAAAGGGATAAAATAATTCATCTGACAAATGAAATCAAATCTCTTATTTGATTTTGTATCCACGTTTCTCCCTAGTTGGGGTGACTTTTGGCTGGGTTTCTTCAAGGGCAAAAATGCCTGAACTGAAAGCAAATGGTGTTTATCACTTCTCCCTCCTCCTGATCACCTACCAGACGTTGGCAAAACATGCATGGCATGTCAAATGCTGCCGGAGCAGCATTCCCCAACCCCCTCTGCCAAAACTGCTCCAACTAGCTTTTAATCACACCAAATGCCTACATGGTAGCCTTCTGCCATTTTATCAGAACACAAACATGCAGAGAAGTTCAAAGGATACATTCAAGCTTAAATTACCTGTACTGAAGCAGGTTTTTGAGTGATGTTAGCTCTCTTTGAAACTCTGAGATTCAGGAAAAAGATCTTTTTTTCATTGGCAGTGCTGACAGCTATCCCACACCCTCCCTGGTGCAGCAGGTGCTGCAGGCAGCAGCCAGGAGAGGAAGGGCACCCAGCAGCAGGGACAGCTTCGTGGTTGCTCCAGCCTGCCCTGCCTGGTTGGCTTTCTTGGCTCATGAAGGTCACACAGCAGTAGGAGAGTTGACCTCTTTACAAGCAGGAAAAAAACCAATGAGATGTAAAGCTGTAAACTAGCAAGTGTTTCAAGGAATTATTTTAAACTTATAATTTTGGAAATAGCAAGGTTTCAAGTTGGCTTTGTCCTTTAAAAAATAAGTGCAAGGAAGAAGAGAAGCAGGATCAGTCCCATGACCAAAGGAGAAGTGAAAGCCCCTCCCTGAAGGTTGGAATGAAAGATGTCACTTTGCTGACTCACCGAAGTCAAGCAGAGCCTTCTCGAGGAGAACTTCTCGAGGGTTCACTCTGTCCCAGTGCATTTAGCAAGTCAGATACTTCAAAAACATGTAACCTTAATTTTCTCTCTGGCCTATGAATGAGAAGGGTGAAACAACTTTTATGTTCCCTCTCTGAAAATTAAACTTTCATCCTTCAAGCCAAAGCAGCTGTTTGTTTTAAACGCAAGTGCCTCCTTCCAGCATAAATGAAGAAATACAGATTCAGAGATACAATAACATGTAATTAATTAGATCTGATGCAATTACTGGCTCTCACACGAGCCGGTGTAGGAGCTCAGCCCTGCAGTGCATAGTTAGGACCAGCACAAGACTGGGAGGAGCCCAGGCTGAGCATGATACCTAATTGTACAAGGGCATGCCACATGCCCCAGAAAAAAAATACTGCTGGTTTTTATATTTTAAAACCCCTAGTTCTAGCATAAATTATTGTTTTACATGGCCATTTTGGTATTATTTGCCTTGCCTGAAATAACCAAGAAAAATGAATTATTCCCAGATACCGTATAACATGTTCACTTCAGGCATCAAGCACAAGCCTTGTTTGTATGAAGAGCTGAGTAACTCCATAAAAACTCCTGGATGTCAGCTGGAATTTGGTGTCCTCAACTCTTGGGGAAGAGCACATCCACTCGGGAAGATACCAGAAGCAGGCAGCCCCTGGAGTAATGATGCTGTGACCTTGTCCTGGTTTCTGCTGGCTGTAGGAAGCTGCTGCCTACCACCATCACAGGGCAAAGGGTTCTTACCTCCCCCACCTCCTGGGCAGGCAGTACAACAGCTCCTGGGGCTCTTGCTTGTTTAGCTGTGCTGAAGGATGCTAGAGAAAAGAGCAGCTTAGCTCTGGGGACACTGACATGTTTATAAGCAGATGAAGAGGAACAGGAAAGCAGACCTCAGCGAGCAATGCAAAAGCAGGAGATGAAGGCACAAAGGATGAACACAAACTCCATGCTCATAGAGCCCACCCCTTTCCCTTTCACTGCACTTGCTCCTGGGTATTCAATGTAATATGGTGGCTTTACCAGTAAATAGGACCTGAGTATCACCTTTCACACAAGTAGTCGCCATTGTTCAGGGACACTGGTGACAGCCTCTGGCTATTCAACCCAGATGCCCTGAGGAGCCAGCTGTCCTTCTGCAAGCTAGCAGGAACATCAGCTGATGAATTTAAGAGGAAGTCACCAATGGATTTTCCCTCCAACACTGGCAACAAGGAAGTTCCTAGCAAAACTGTCAGAATCAAAACCCAATAATTGTTCAGTGAATAATTACACTGTGCAATGCCTGAGTGCAGGGCAGCTGAAATGGGCTGTTTCAGAAGTGTTGGTACCGATTCAGTGGGGTTGGGTCCGGTGAAGGTGAGAGACCTAAGAAATTCAGGCAGCACCCCTTCCAGGACACTGCCTGGGGCAGACCTTGTTTTCAGCCAGAAAAGAGGCCCTTCTTGCATGTGCCAGCTGTCTTAGAGGGCTGAGAATGGCCATTATCAGCTTACCAGCACAGGGAAAGAGAAAGCAGGTGAGGACAGTAATGTAATATATCTTTGTAATCATCTTCCTGTGGCTTGCAAAAGCAAGCAAGGCTCAACCACATTCCTGGTGTCCCTACAAGCACAGCTGATGAATGTATTGGAGACCTAAAATCAAAATAACATGCTCTAGGGGACCCTGCCCTAGACCAGAGAGGCTGGATTTGATGACCTCCAGTGCACCCTTCCAACCTTAACTATTCTGTGATTCTGGAAAAACACAGTCCAGGCAGGAAATTTCCCTAGCTACCATGCCCTTTATCAACATTTCCTTATTCTTATCCACAGGCAATGGCTTGTGTACAAGTGTCCAATTAAAGTCAGTAGCTAAGTCTAAACGGCTCATTAACAAGAAGTGATGTTCATTACCCTGCTTTTAAGAGATGTTAAACCGAGACAGGCCAAGTACCTCTCCTGTTGGAAAGAAAACACCAGGTGCTAATTAACTTGAGATTACATAAACTAATTCAGCGGTGTAGCTGGGAAACTCTTTTCCTGACACTTAACTAAACCTGCTAATACAGTGAGCTCTGAGAAAAAATCATAAATACATTTCTTGTGGGCCAAACAATCAGAGCTGAGGAAAAGAGCAAGGATGCTTCAGACACGGGGTACAGTGTGGGAACAGGAAGGTGAAGGACACAGGAAAGAGCTCTTTAGCTGGTAAACAGAGCACATGCAACAGCAGGAAGTCATTAAAGCGCCTACAAGGTTATCTCAAATTCCCACGAAGCAACACAGCTGACTGCCCTTCTTGTTTTGCAAGACAAGAGAGCAGTGCTGGCTTCTTGGGCTGGTGCAGACACTCTGGAGGGAAAAGGAGAGGGGAGCATGTAGTGGCCACAGTTCAGAGCTTGGCAGAGCACCAAGCAGTCATTTCTTCATCAGTTTAGCTGGGTAAACACACGGAATGGTGCCTGGGAGATTATGTAAAACCTCCCTCATCCCCTTAAGTCTGCACCCCAATATCAAAAGATAAAAAGAGTGAATTACAGTTCTTATTTCAAATCACTTTATTTAACAAACTTCAGGAACATTACTTGACACTTCCAAACGCTTCAGAAAATGAACAGTGACCACTGCTGCACAGGTTGCTCTATATAAGGATGTCTCCAAAACAATCAACTCTTGTTTTGTAATATTTAGCTGTCAAAATGCATCTTTTCCCAGCATAATTGAGTAGTACTATACAAAAAAACAGTTGGAAAAAAAAGTTACTCAATTTTCCCCAGAGGATTCTTTACCCCCAACAAAAGGCCTCTTCTTTAGCTGGCAGAGGGTATCCTAAAAATCATTCCAAATTGCACACCATGTCTAGGGTGAACTCAATGGCCAATTGTCCGGTGTCCCTCTAACCCGAGCAGGAGGCACCAGCCTGGAGCCCAGTCTGGCTATGGCTGCCTTCCAAGGAAAGGGATGGAGGCACAGCCTCCCGCTAGCATGAGGGAGTGAGCACACAGAAGTCATTTCCAAGTCTGGATGTCACCAGAGTGTCACTCTGAAGCTACATTCACGTTTCTAGACAAGCCACAGACACCCTTACATGCAGAGGAGCTGTCCTGCCTGACATGGGCACCCCCAGGCACCACAGCTGGATCACTGGTTAGTTAAGGTACTCCTGGTAACACCAAAGTGCAACAGCTGGGGACTAGAACTTGCAGGGTCTATTTGGCCTAAATGGCTCTGCAAAAGCCAACAGCAACAGCTCACAGAGCATCTCCAAGTTCAGCCCAGCAGCATGTCTTCAACAGTGCCATCCAGCAAATCAAAGGCACCTTCATGAACAGACACAGTGCAGTTTTCCAGAGACACAGGCACAAGTCCTTGTCCTTGAGAATGGGCTAAGAAACTCTATCAAAGCTCCAAACATCACAAGAGCTTCAGGAGCTGTCTGGGTAGCACAGCTCTGCACCATGTTGACAGAAAGATGAGCAGATTCATGTGCAAAAGTACAACTGGCACTGTCCAGAGCAAGCCAAGTCTGAACCTGCATTGCAAAACAGGCTTAGGAGTGCTGTCTTAAGGAGTTACAGAAGTCAAAGAAGGAACAGAGACTGTCCTGAAAGCAAGTGAGTCCACAGGAGAACATTTATCAAAGTGTGGTACATTCCAGCTCAGGCACAGCTTAAGATTCTTAGCTTTCAAAGACAAAGTTGTTTACTCATGGCTCACATACACAGGTTTGTGACCTCTGTGCTATGATGCATTTGTTTCAGGTGAAAAACTGTGTCAAACTTGTTGCACAGGAAACTAAAACCTTGCTCAACAGACAAGGTACATAACAAGGGATGAAACGTGTAGAAACATTCATTGTAAAACAAGGATATAAGCAGCTTTACCAGTGGATACAAAGCAAACAGTAAACCAGAAACCCTGAAATACTCTGAAGACATTTTTAACTGTGAGCAACTTAGTGTTGTGTGTTGGACAGGGAGAACACATGTAGAGCAATCTACTCTACAAATGAAGTCTTCTCTCCTTTTACATAAGACACCATGGAGAACTTCAAAGCTGTACTAATGTTAGAGATTTTGACTCAAACATTGGCAGGAGGAAGGCCAGCCTTAGTATAATAATTTTGGCCTCTCAGGTCTCCCAACATTTCTACAAGTGGTGACAGATTAGAGCTGCACCCATCAGCCCCTCCTTAGGCAATCATGGGCTACTTCTCCCAGGTTCACTGTTAGTCAGAGGAAGAAAAGGACCTGATCAGGACAGGAGGATCTAGGACTTTCTCCTCCCTTAAGAAATGTTACAGGAGATTCAGCTACAGGATAAGCACTGTCCCAGTGGAAACCAAAACACAGCCCAGAAGCTGTGGTGGTCTCTGCATGGTCTGCTCAGCCACAACAGCCCATGAAGCCCCTGCAGAACTTGTCCCTCTTGCCCCCAAAGAAAAAAAGAAAACAAAAAAACCCAACCAACCAAAAAAAACCACCAAAAACAAGAGCAATGCCCTATTACCATAAACTGTGCAAGGGTTGTGAGAGAGTCAGTTTGGTTGACCAGTTGGCACATATCCTTCAGGGCTGGCAGGAGAGTGGTGACACTGGGGAGAGGCCACAAACACCTGCATACCACAAACCACATGCACTGCTGCCTGAGGAAAGCATCACATCCCTTCCCTCTACAGCTACATCACCCAACACCTACCCTGGCCCCAGGTCAGCACCTCTGTCTGAAGTGTTTCCAAAAAACTAAGAAAAGAACAGATAAAGGAACATGCCCGAAGGGAACAAAACCTGTGACCAGATCAAGTTCTGTGTGCCTTCTCTTTTGAAAGAAAAATGAAGGAGTAAGATCCAGTGAAGAGCTTCAATACTCCACACCAGTGAACATGGCCAGGCAGAAATCATCTGTTCCTGAGCCAGAACAAACCCATGAGACACACCGAAGTTGTACCACACTCTCCACAGGCTCCAGAAAATGGGGAAAAGCACAGCAACACCAAATCCACAGCAATACCAATGTTGTGCAAGCCTCAGGTCAACATGTGGGATAGATTGCAGTCTTCCAAATCTCTGCACATTTATCAGGACACCTTCTGCTTTAATCCACTCCTCCAGAAAACCATATTGCAGTAGCAGCCAGTCCCAGTCTCTGCTTGGCTGGTGTTGCTCAGCTCTCCGTGCCGATCAGTGGGTGGGTACATCTTCTACAGGCATCAAGACTGACTCATGCTTCCTTGCACACAAACTAAGACAGGGCAGCCTTTTCAAACTTCATTAGACTCTCCTTCTTCCAGTCTAATTGGCAAAGCTGATTACACAAAGGCAGAGGTACATCCTTTGTGCCTAGATTTTGCCTACCCCATTTCTGAGGTGTGTGAGGCTGTTGATGTGAAGTCCACTGATTCCGTTAAGGAAGAAGAGAAAGGCAGCAATGAACTCGCACCAGTATGTCAGCGTGAAGCCTGTGAAGGTGAGGTGATCCTTCACCAGGATGGAGAAGCTCAGAACACCAGTGGCTGACAGCAAAAAAGAGACGAGGATGAGAACAGAACCCATTGCCCATTTCCGCCTCGCATGGGCATCATCGCAGACTTGGGACACCATCAGCAGCTCCAACCCAAATATGGCAACCACAACAGCAAAGGACACCATGCTCCTGATGGGAATCACCCCCACGCTCAGCCCCTCCACCTGGGCCAGGCTGAGGTCTGTGCCACACTTCAGGACGCTGTCGTTGCTCACGGTGCAGAAGTGCCACAGTCCAAAGAGCTGTCCCCTCGCAAAGAGCCAGCGGCCATCGCAGATGGAGATGGACGACAAGACCACGGCTATCGCCACGCACAGGATGATCAGGCTCCTGATGAGCGTCTCAAAGAAGGATTTCTGTGGTCTACGGTGTGCCAGCAGCTGCTGCACCTGAAAGGAGAATGCGAGGAAAAAACATAACAGAGTTAACAGCGCTGCTTCAGGGTGAAATGAAGCCAGAGGGATAAAGCTGTGGGATTCAGTATTTGAAAATATTTACTTGTGCACATCAAACTCCTTCTTGCAGGGGAAGGCTGTACACAGGAGAAAGGAAGGGTGGGTGAAGCTCTCCCAGTTCCCTGGCTGCACAAACAATGCTCCCACGTCAAGGCCTGGGACCGGGATCACAAAAGCTCTTGGCTCAACCAGGTCCCTGCCCCACGGTCTTGCGGCACAGCCTCCTGCTGTGGCAGGGCCGGAGGAAGCCACCGGCCCCTGGGAGGGTGGAGATCGGTGGCTGGGACGGGGAGGCGGCAGCAGCGGGCTGGGGAGGGCTCCTCGTTCCCAGCACTGCCCTCCCGAGCTGCAGCCGGCCGGTCTCTCCTCCTCCAGCCAGCAGCAGCAGCGGCCCGGATCCCAGTCCTCACCCCGGGGTCGCACGGCTCAGCTACCCCAGGGCTCGGGGGGAGGAGGGGAAATCTTCGGCTGCAGCCCCCGCGGACCCGCCTGGGCAACGCAGTTCCCCTCCGAGTGACCCGAGATGCAAAGGAAAGTCGAGCCAAGAGCCCCCAGCCCCTCGGAGCGCCACGTGCGGCGGGCAGGGGGAGCCGCGGCCCCGGGGAGCTGCCGCCGGCCGGAGAAGGCGGGAAAGGGAATCCCGCCGCTCCGGGACGGGCTGAGGCAGCGGCCCCGCGGCGGCGGGAGCGAGCGGCGGACGTACCTGCGCCCCGATGGCCGTCATGCTGCCGGCGGCGCCGAGAGCCGCGGGCGGGCTGCGGCCGCCGCTCTTTATCTCCGGGGAGGGCGGAGGGCAGCCCCCCCGCCCGCCACGCCCGCGGGGCCGGGGCGCCTCCGGGCCCCCCCGCGGCTGAGTCAGCAGCGCGGCCCCGACGGGCGGAGCCGAACCGAACCGAGCTGAGCCGAGCGGAGCGGGGCCAGGCTGCTCCCCCACAGCCCGGCACTGGCCCGGGACACGGGCTCGCCCAAGCCCGCTGCAGAGCTCGGCTGCCGGGCAGGAGGTGTCCTGGGCGGCGGCGATGCCTGAGGCCGCGCTGTGGCTTCGCCCTGCCCCGTGTCCCCGCGTGTCGCCGGCTGCCGGAGGGCTCGAGGTGTGCTCCAGCGGTTCGGGGTGCGGCGCCCGTGCCGAGCCTGGGGGCGCGGGGAGGCTGCCCCGGCCCGGCCCGCTGGCCCGGACACCGCGGGCGGCCCCGGGAGCCTCTCTGGGGCTGTAGCGATGGGCTGCGCTGACACCCAGCCCCGGAGACGCCTGTGGGTACGGGAACACCCGTCCTGCCCTCGCTGCCCGGTCCCCGCCGCTGTTTGCTCCCGCAGCCCTTCGGCACCGGCTCCGGTGCAGCGATGGCCTCGCACCTTGGGCTGTGCGCGCTCTTATCTGCCACCAGCCTGCTCTGCCTTACCTATCTCTACCTGTACCGTCAGCAAAAACCTCTCTGCTCGTAAAGTTTTATGCCTTAACTCTGTTTCTCACTCATGTCTTGCCATCCTCTAATGAATTACTGACTGCTGTTTTTTTGGTTTTTTTTTTTCTTTTTTTTTTTTTTTTTTTTTGTCTGAAACAGCTTTTAAAAAGCCCAAGAAAGCTGGGTGTTGCTGTGTCATCAGAAACACTTGTTTTACTGCCAAAATCTGATTTTGACTCCAGCAGAGATTCTGAGGTCCAGCGGACAGCCCCACGGGTCGTTGTTCTGGGCTTCCCTCATTCACAGAGGTCAGAATTTGGCCATTCCCTTTCTAGCCAAAAGGCATTGGAAGGATCTGCTTTTCCAATATGGAGTGGTAAAGTTATTGTTACTTTACCCTTCTTGAAACTTCCATTTGTGAACTAGTCATCTGTATATATAGATTGTCTCATTATTTTAATCTCTATTGCAATTTCATCAGGGTTTACTGCACTTCCTTTAAAACACCATTTATATCTGCTGTGATCTGTCTGGGGTGTTTTCTGTAACACTTTCTAGCAAGCGTGGGTGTTCTGAACAACATTTACTTTCGTATTCATACTTTTAATTTTAAGGATAAATGCTGACTTTTTTTTATTTCTCTCCTTCTGCAGAATCTTTTGTTTAAATGTTTCTCTACAAAATTTTATACAATGTTAGATTATATTTTTATCAGACACAGAATTGAGATTTTCTCCTTTTGCAACTCATGGCAAATCTTTGCAAGGTCTGTTGTTAAAACTTATTTTGTGGGTTTGTGGTCAACAACATATTTTGTTTTCTGAATGTACTATCCAAGCTAGAAAACTTAATGCTTGCCACATCCCTTTCATCTGAGGTTCACCAGCTGATAGAAGATATTTATGAACGCCCTGAGCTCTTTATTCCACAGGTTAAACAGCATTTCTTGCAGATTGCATTGTGCAGGCTGATTACATGCATTTGCTCTTATACCCTTCCACTTCAAAGTTCAAAATTCAACAATATATATGTGTTTTTGGCTCAAAAAGTACAAGCAGGTCTTGTCTCATTTGTTGTATGAGCTGAGTAAATGCTGCTTGCATGTAACCATGCTGAGCAAATGCAGACTTAACCTGACAAAATATACCAGCTCTTACCTGGCAAAAACCTCACATAACTTATGCTTTCTGTAACACTGGCTCAATCCTGCAAAGCATTAGGCAATTTGGCCCACAATTAGCAAAATCATTAAGCATAGATCTGCATTTAAAACATCTGAGTCATCCTACTTATCTCAGCAGTTAAAAATCTTAACTTTAAAGGGTGAGCGGTATTCTGCTGGGCAAGACTTTTTTTTCTGTAAAAGCCCACGGTAAAGCTCACATAAGTAAACACATGCATAAAAAGCTTTGATGAATGAGGAAATTAAAGTGGTTACTTTTGGAACCAAAACTGCTTCCCTGTCATATTTAGATTCTTTAGTAAAGGTATAGTTATATGCCAAGCCTGTTCTTTGAGGAAAAAGGGTGGTAGGGGATGGTACCTTTTCTACAAAGGATAAATTGCTTCAATGTTTTGTATTTAATTTAGTTTCCCCAAATATAAATGAGAATTAAACTGGACTTGGAATTTTAATAAGCATTGAATAGGCACTTTCAGAGTCACTTTCCTGAAGTCACCCAGGAGAGGATGGTTGTAACAGTGATTGTTTCATTTCTGCACTTGCCTGGCTGGAGGTACCTTCTGGTAAAGAGTCTGACAGAACTCTGTACCTTTCTCAAGTGTAATGAGTTTGTCTTCATTTCTCATTACAGAAAAAGCCAAACATATTATGTGATTAAAAAAAAAAAAAAAAGTGGGAAAATGGTATTTTGCAATAAAAAGGGTTCAGTGCTGTAAAAAATATTTTTTGTCTGTAAAATATATCACCTATGTAATAACAACAGATAAAATGACTGTTAAAGCACTTTAGAGGTATTTTTGGTTGTGTTAATGTAGAGTTCTTGGTATATTGCCAGTTTCATAATTTTGTTTAGAAAGTCCTTTTTCTCTATTGTTTAAGTAGGCATTTCACATCCTATCCCTGGAGAGAAAGTTTTCAGGGAAATGTGTTCATAAATAATGGAAATTACCAGAGACTGTTGTACAACACAGAAATAGGTTCATCTGGTTCATTTAAAACCATGAGAAGTTTAATACTGAAGAATCTGTTCCAACTTTTCACCTGGAGAAGGTTCAGGACCGAAATCTGAGCGTCACCAGGGGCTTAGGGAACAATTGCCCAGTTAAGTGAAATCACTTAGAGGTGAAGCAGAACACAAGTGACTGAGGCACCACCAGTCCAGCTTCATCTGACCTTGAAGCCAGTTACTTCTGTAAAGGCATTTTATTGTTTAATAAAATACTTTCTGATCACATCTTTAATTCTTGGCGTAGCAACTCACCCAATGAGGTATTTAAACCCTTATTTTTGCCAGATCTCATCCCTCTGCAGAGAGATGTGGACCTGGTCTTTGAAACAAATAGATCTTGAGTATCTTGCAGACTGAGACTTTGGGAGGTGTCCAAGGTCTGTATGATGGGGAAAATGTTACTTATTTTTTTTATATCTTCCCAAAGCAGTGAGCATGTAGAAAGTGTTATGAGAAAGAAGGAAGAGGTTGTCTCCTGTCACTGTTCTCTTGCCTTCTATTTTTCCTGGTCGTAGAGTGAAAATTCAGCTTGAAGAAGCTGCATTCGGCTCAGGCTGGGTTCAGCCCAGCTGGGCTGGAACAGAGCTTCTGGAACAGGGCAAAAAGTCAGCAAGCTGCTGGCAAGCTGCTCAAGCCCAGCAGCTTCTGGGAACTCAGGCAGTCATCCTAGGTGAATTGTGCCCCAGGCAGCAGCACATATAACAGAAGGGGGTTTGGGGTGTGCCAAGGCCCACACAGCTCAGACCAGCCCCTTATCACAACTACTTTACCTCAGGATTTCCCTCCCACCGCTGCAAGTTATTGCAGCCAAGTGGACAAACTCATCCCGGCGTGTAAAAGCATGTAAAGAGGAGAGAGCTCCTGGGCCAGATGGTTTCACTTTGCCTCCTGCCTGGACATCTCTGCTGTGCCACAGGAAGGCAGACTGGCCACCAGACAGGGGCTACCATGTGTCCCTGCAGCCACAAGCTCTCCCACTCGCTGCTGGCTGTGCATGAGAGGCCTGGGCTGCTGCACACGGTGATAACACCCAGTTGTACCCACCAGCCAGCCCTAGGTCCTACTGCCCACCCACAGCAACTTGTGAGGGACTCAGAGTGGGTCACAAACATGCTGATAATGTGGGACTCCATTGCAGTGGTTTTATCCCCAGCCTCAGCTAAGTCTGAGATGAAGAGAGACTTTAAGCAGGACAGGCTTAAAGGAATAGATCTTGTATCCCAGCAAGAATTGTGTTTTCACCTATAATCAGTTTTTGGATCTACCTCAGCATCACATTGCAGAGATCCAACACTGGGTACTCACTCATTTTGTTTCAGATTCAGCCTTTTTCAGGGAATCTTTTGCAATAGTTACACTGGCTTAGGAAATACCTCAAAATACTTGCATCTGACCATTCTGACAGATCTGCTTTGAAATATAAATTCAATACAAAAAAAATACCCAAAAAACCAAAAAGCCAACTTTAGGTCTTTAGCACTACTAGAAAAATTTGGGTCCCTGTTTCAATGCTACATAAGTTAGGGGAAAACATTCAATTTCTCAGCTGTCACATACATATTTTTTCTATCAGTAAAAAGTCATATCAAGAGATTTAGAAGTTGCAACTTCATTGAACTGGTTAGTTCATCTCCCAGATTCAGAACTTACTCAAAGGAGCAGTGTTTATCAGGAGGAGATGACATACCATTACTTCAGCCTTTTGGGAAACACAAGTTGGGGCCTTGCACATTTGGTGGGGACAAACAAGGTGTCTGCCTGGCTGTGTTAGCCAAGTAAACTGTTTTTCTTTCCAGGATGTAGAAAGAAAGCTTCTTTTGATGCAGCTCATAAATGTATGTGTACTGGGAATAGCTGGGAATGAAAGTTAAAAGATCACTGCAGATGAGCTCCATATGAATTCTGTGTTCTAAAGATAACACAACTAAACTGTGTTTAACTTGCACCATACCCTGATTCTAGAAGAAATACAAGCTCATTCTATAAAACATGAAGATGGATTGATGGTATTTGCACTTTAAGTGAGCAGCTGATTGGCTAATTCATAGATTGGAAGGTACTTCATAGACTTGTGGGGAGGAGAAAAAAATTAGATTCTGGTTTTGTACCATTAGCTTTTACCCTTCTGAGTTTATTACTGTGAATGCACTCAAATGTCTTCTATCAATGTAGTATCAACTTGTCTTACTTTTACACAGCTTTCACTACTTGGAAGGCTGTGTAACCTACTTCTGGGGTGACAGCTGTGGCATTTAGAAAACTGACCCAACTAAAATACACTTTCTGCCTCCACAATTTATAATCAATCTCATAGGATGGCTTAGATGGCCAGTCACCCCAAAGTGGTATTGCCCAATACTGTTTGCTCTGAACACTTGGGGGAAGAGCAAATATTTTGAAGAGCAGCAAATGCAATTGTAATTTATTTTTAGCAGTATCATCAGGGTCAAATAAGTTCAAAGCTTAAAATGCTTCCATCATGAAACAGGATTATTCCAGATGAGTACTGAAGAATTTTGAGTCAGTTGCATACTGCAGTCAGCCTTGGAGGGTCTTTTAACCAAACTGAAAAATTTACTTCACAGGGTTGAAAAATCTGTTATGGGCCTTAAGCAACACACCAATACTGTTTTGTTAAATCTGTGCTATGAGTGTTGCACCTTCACATGTTTGTTAAAAGCAAGCAAAACCCATCAGAAAGAGATTTCCAAGGAAAACACCATCCCCTTTCTTATCTGTACCTGCAGTGGGTGCCAATCAGCCGCGTTGCTCTGTGCAAGAGCTAATCATAGGAGCGTGATGGAAGGAACACTGTCTTATCACACACAGGAGTTAACATTTATTATGGCCACATCCAAAGTCCAGGTTCTGTCCTGCACGCTGCAGACTCAGCAGAGCAGAGCTGAGCGTGTGTGTGCCAGCTGGCCTCTGACCTCCTGCGTGCTGGGCTGCCTTCAGCGCACGTCTCTCCTCCTTCCCCAGCACTGCAAGGATCAGGATGTTGCTGGCCTGGCTTTGATCTAACCAAGAGGAAATAGCAGCAACTCCCTGAGCGGGTGTCAGAACAATCCCCTGTTTTGCAGCACTGCCCAGCCATCAAAAGCATCTGATCCTCCACCAAAAGTGCCTTACTGCATGCAGAGCTATGGCTCTGGATTATATTCTGGTTTGAGGCTTGCTGCTTCTGTTTCTGATCTCAAGGCTGTATGATAATGGTTGTCTATTTTTACCACCTTATTAGTTTAATAAAAGCAATTACCTCTTCCTACAAATCTGTTTCTAGATGCCCTTAAAACACCCCTGCCCTGGTGTCACTGCTGCCCAGGTGTTATTTATGCAGCCCAGGTGCCTCACACACCTTACCTGCAAGCACTTGGTGGTCACTAGGTCAGAAACATTTTCAGGCAGCCCAGCGTCCCTACACATTTAGATATTCATCCTGCTGCTAGACAACCATAAGGAGCCCCTTAGCTCAGTCTATTCCAACTCTCAGTCTATTTCAACAATTACTACCCTTTCAGCCAAATTTTGTGTTGCTGCTTCTTGTCACAAACACTGTGTGCAGCCACCAGTACCTTTGCTTCTGCCTTTGTGCCTTTTGTAGCCTCTTACTGCAGAGCTATTTCCACATCTTGAAGTTTTCAGCTTGCTCCTAAAAAGACACAGTTGATTGCCAAAGGGCAAGCTAAATATTAAGACAGCTGATGTTACTTTCTCAAGAATGGTGAAGCTGCAAGCAGAAATGTGTTGCTACAGTAAAAAATTAAGTATCCAAATAAAGACAGAATTCTCAGTCACTCGTATTCCTTGGCAAATAGCATTATTTGTAAGCCTGGCTAAGAGCAAACCCTCTCTGGGATAAGCCCTGTGTACAAAGTGATGTTTTCCTAATGCCAGATGTATGAGAAAGGAGAGCAGCACTGTAACAATTATATTGTCACAGGGGAAACTAATCCAAATGAGGACTATGATATAGAATTTGCTACCCCCAGCCCATCCTTTAGACCCAACTCCACTACTTCAGCAGTCAAAAATTCTGACTGCATCTGTTTTGACAGAAAACATGCTGGCAAAGCACAGTGTGCTCACAGTGCATCAGCTTCCAGCAAACAAGAGCAATGTGGAAGCATTATTTGCTGTGTGAGCTCTGCTCTGGTAAAGTTTAGCAGAATCCTTCAAAGATAACCAGCTTCACAAAAAGCTGCCAAGATGGAGTTGTAGATGTGGGATTTAGGACTAGAGAAGAGGCAAAAGCATTTCTTATGGTGAACATCTGCTCTTACCCCTCTCTTGCGAAGTGAATTTAATTAAAACAACCTCAACTAAGAGAGGATACAAGAGCAGGTAAAAAAACCCCAAATGCTTATTTTACTTACCCAGAAGAACAAGGAGGAACAAGAATAAACTGCCTTTTTTTCCCTCTTCATTCTAATACATCTCAAAGGACAGAAAGCAGCTCTAAGAGCATTTCCCATTAAAAGTAGTAAAGGGGAAAGTTAAAATTTTTGAAAGCATGTGAAATAATCCCTAAATCTACTACTCACCATGTATTTACCAAGACAGATACATAATGATAGTTTTCATCCCTATATAGTTCTAGAAATCAATTGCTTATCTGAAGAGTCCTCACCTATTCAGATGCTAACCAGTACAGCAGGAATTATAATGCCTGATTCCTGTTTAAGGTTGTGATTTCATTCTCAAATGCTTTATGCTGGAATAATTCAAAGTCACGTTTTGAAATCAAAGTCTTCCCTTTCCAACATCAGCAGCTCCAAGAGACTACACCAGGCAGACCAAAACAACGAACCTACCAGAGACAGTCACAACTGTGTTTTGTAATCGAACTTTTGCTGATGATCACTGTCTTTCTCTTTGAGCAGTCTTGCCAGTGTTCAGCCAGTCTGCAGTGACTCACCTCTCACTGCAGCCAACTGCATGGCAACATCAAGTTGATCAAGCAGCATCAGGAGGATCAACTCCACTGCCTCTGGAATCTCTCCTTGCCCAGGGAAGGCTCTGTGTTCAGTATTAGCCTTTACTCTAGAAGCCCAACACTGTTGTTGGGAAATAACGTGTCCCAGAAGTGTTTTATGAAAGATGCTTGGCAGCTGTTGACTAAGACTCTGAAGGCTCCGGGCAACAAGTATCAAGCACCTTGCTCTTAGCACACACAGCATTAGAGATAACCTTTTCCAGATAAGCTCCGTGGTGCTCCAGCTCCTATGTGTCGCCACTGAGGGCCTGGGGAGGAGCGGCAGGACAGGAGCGGGCAGTGCCGAAGGTGACCGACCCCCTCTAGTGGCACCACGGCACGGGCTCGCCGTGACCGCTAAGGGACAACAGCACAACAGCTAAAGTACCAAACGCACTTTAATGAGTTCCAGATTTTGTTCCCAGAAGGAATTTATACCGTGTCAGTACATTAGCCAGGTACATTATTTCTCCTGAGCTACAGGCATGAGGAGAACCGACTATGACATACTAGGTATCTAAGGTTACTCTTAGAAACCACTTTTCCACATTAGAAATAAGGCAGGTTTCAGGCGTGCATGTAGCTGATTTATCCAGTCCTTAGATGCCGTATTTGCCCTTTAGTTCTTCCACTTTTGCTATGTAAGCTTTCATTGCATCTTCTTTGGACATTCCTGAAGGACAGAACACAGGAAGCAGTCAGATACCTTTCACAAGTTAAGATGCCTTTTACAAGTTACAATTCTTGCTCTAGTCTGTGCCACTGGAGAGCAAAGGAGCCGGGAAGGTCACTTGGCTGTGAAGTCACTGCTAAACTTTTTAACAACTGTGTTTTATCAGTCATGAAAACAGTGCTTCCAAGCAAAGCTGTTTTTGCACAGGCAGCAACTAACCAGTGTATCAGTTCTATTAATGCCATTGACAATGATTACAGGAGAGCTATTCCTTAAAACACCAGAAAAAAGCCCCATTGTCACAGATTAGACCACTTGTTTGGATCCTCATTTAGAGCTGAGAGCTCAGTTGTTTCTTCCAAAGCTTTCCTAACTGGAAGATGCATAACAACTGGAGAGCTCCAGTGGTTGGGCTATTAGGCTGTCTTTGGGGAATTCGGCTGGGATCAAGAAAACAAGTTTAGGTTTCTGCTGCTGTTATTGTTCTTCTTTATTTAACATCTTAGGCCAGCTGGACATTTTGCACCCTAACTCTCTTTCACACAGGCCATCTTCTTCAGGATTACTTCTGCCTTGTAGAGGTAATTAAAGTTTATTCTCATGGCATTCTGAACTTCTAGAGCTCTTGTATTAAAAGGCAACACTAACCTGTTTCTTACTGAACTACATGTGTCTTTCTGTCTAGTTTGCCAGTGTAATTTTATTAATTTCTTTAATCAGACACTTACCTTTCAATGCACTCCAGGCATCCCACTTTGCTTTGCCTTTGAAGTCCAGCATACCAGGGCGCTCTGAGAAAGACAGGATAAGCAGCAGGATTAGTTTGTGTGATCTGGCTGTAGTCAATACCGACTTGAAGGCTTAGTTAGCTCTTAACTGTGACTAAATACAATGGCATCACCTCTGCAGCTGTTACTCGCTAACCTGTAGCCAGGAGATCACCTCAGGGGAATAGGTTACAACATCGTTGGTGACAACAGAAATAGACTCTTTAAAACTCTCTTGAGACAGCAGCATTTGAGCAGAAGAGCACCAACTGCTGTCATTTGGTTTAGCTGTGCTTTCTGAAGAGCCTGCTGTCACATAACAGCTACCCAATTAAAGAACACCAGCTCTAAAGCAAAGCAGAAACACCCTGAGGTTCATTACAGGCAGAGACACAGAAACAGACAGCTGTTTGTAGTAACATACAGCTTGGAACCCATTATCATCAAGTTAATAGTGTATTTCTAATCTATAGTTCTGCATTTGAAAACCTTGGAAATTTAACTCACTTCACTGCAGGCTGTGCTATGGCCAAGCAGAAAGTGAATGACATATACATGGTTTATCTTTGTGTAAAGTCTCCTTTGTGGTTTTACTTCCTCTCTCTCTCTCTCTCTCCCCTTAAAGATAATTCTTAGAACTCACAAAAGGAACTGGGCAGTATCCACAGAAACAGCCCTGTGCAGCCCCCATGGCACAGTGACCTGTAGCTCCAGTTGGCAGCTCCACTTCTCTCCAGCACCAACCCCATCAGTCACCCTCCCACAGGCTGCTTCTCGGGCCAGCTCACGTTGGCTGCTGCTTCACAGGAGTGCAGACACTTGCAGGAATGGTGGCACATTCACAGCACTGTTTCACCCTGTCAAGCACTAATAATGCTGATGTCCAGCCACACCAAAAAGACCACATCTTAAACCCAAAGTCTATTATTTTCTCCCTCATGCTGCCAGCTTTGGAAAAAGGAGATTAAATTACTTACCATTTCCTGTACACTTCACTGCCAGCTTTTAAATCAATGGATGCTCAATAAACTTTGCCAGCTACTGGGTTAGGAGGCCAGCACTCCAAAGTGTTGACCTTTTCCCTTTCTAATTCTAGCTACTCCAGCGTTACACAAGGACGATAGAGACACGCTTCACTTTAAATGTTACTCCAAAGGCGGAGCTGCCATGGACAACACTGTAGCAAGAGAAGTAGCCAGAAACATTTTGCACTGTGTATTTGAATATTTTTGGTACAGTCTTTCTGAAGTATATTTAATTGCAGCTCATATGAAAGTTTTCTCCTATTCTTCTGGTTCTGCTTTCCAGTACTATTTTTAGCAACCAATCCAGCCTAAATAAACTCAATATCATCCCCTGAGTATTGCAGTTCCACCCTTGTATCACTTGCCCTGCTGTTTAAGTCTGTACAACCCAGACGTGTTTGCATTAAACAGCACCCCTCGGCTCAAGCAGCTATTTACTAACAGAGATCTCCAAAAAACCCAATCGCGGTATTTGTACAAAGCATCCTCAGGCCCTCACTGCACGGAACAGACGGCGGCAGCCGGGTTAATCTAAAAACCACGAATTATCGGGCCAGCCTGTGCCCTCCCGCACACGAACCCGTGCCAAGTGGGCAGGGAGTCACTTGGCTGAGCCGCGGGCCGAGGGAAGGGCAGCGGGGAGCGGCTCTGCCTGCCGGGGCGGCACCGGCACCCACCCGTGTTCACGTCGCCCACCGTGGCCTGCTTGTAGTGGCTGTAGACCGCCAGCATCTCCTGGTCCGTGGGCTGCGACTTCAGCTGCTTCACCTCCTCGGCAGCCTTCTGGAACGCGGCCTGGGGAGGGCAGGAGGGGGCGAGTGAGGGGAAGGTGGTGGCGGCCCGCGGCTGCCCCGCGCACCGCGCTCACCGCGGCAATCCCCGCACCGCGCTCACCGCGGCAATCCCCGCATCTCGCTCACTGTGTCGCCCCCCGTACCGCTCTCACTGTGCCGCCCCCCGTACCGCTCTCACTGTGTCGCCCCCCGCACCTCGCTCATCGCGCCGCCCCCCGCACCTCGCTCATCGCTGCGCCCCCTGCGCGCTCCCGGCCCCGCCGCTTCTGCCTCGTCGCCCCCGCCGCGCGTCCGCCTCACCCCTCGCCAGACTGGCCGCCGGCCAATCGCAGCGCCTCGGGCCCCGCGGGCACCAATCAGCGCGGGCCAGGGGCGGGCGCAGGGCGGGCAAGGAGCCAATGGGAGGCGGTGTGGGTGCCTCCCATTCACTAGGGCATGAGGAGACAACGGCGGGCGGCGCAGAGCCCGCTCAGCCAATCCCGCGGCTCGGGGGTGCCACGGGAAGGACGCGATTGGCGGAGCGGGTGGGCGGGGCGGAACCCGGAAGTGCCGGCGGAGAGCGGTAACGGGCCTGGGGGGGCGGCGGTCCCGGTGTCGGTCCCGGTGTCGGTCCCGGTGTTGCCGCGGGTCCGGGGAGGCTCCTCTTTCCCAGAGGAATGGGCCACCAGCGCCTCCGCCTGCCTTCCTGTCCTCGTGGAGGTGCGGGGAAGTGCGTGGTCCCAGCCCTCCGTGCGATCGGTTTGAGTAGTAAATGCGAAAATTGGCGGTTTCTGGTTGAGCTCCCGAATTTATGTTCCCACAGTGTTTCTCCATGCTGCTTAGGAGCCAGTGAGCTGAGCGCTGTGCCCTTTACTGCACCCCCCAAGTCACCAGCCCATGTGAATAGCACCGAGAAAACATCCATCTTTGCTGTTTAGTATAAGTCATTTTCAGGTGCAAAGTACGCTCGCTTTTTTTGATTGGCATGTGTTATTTATGCGGTGTGCACTGCACACTCATTTAAACTGGAATTGGGACTCAGGGAGTTATTGGCCAAGTTGCCCTGTGCTGTGGAAGGTCTTTGTCCCCGTCCTGCAGACAGTACTTGATGAAAATATTGGTAGTTTGCTTTGCCAGGCTATTGCTGGGACAAATAACAGCCAAGGCTGGGATGCGCCTGCATGGTGGTGGGACACTTGAATAACCCCACAGCAAAAAAAGGAGAAAAAAAAAAGACGCACAAAAAAGAACATTTGGGGCTGAATAGGTAAAAGGTAAAAGATTCCCTCCCAGGGCTGGAGTGGACTCTGAGACAGGGATGGGAGGTGCAAAGGTCCTGCTGATGTTGGAGCACATGGGCTGCAGTCCTTGCTGCAGCAGCTGTACGTGCCCAGGAAACTGAGGGATGCCCAGCACTAAAAATAGAGATGTTTGTCAAGGTAGAAAAGAGCTTGTTTTCCTGTGGAGATAAAAAAACCCGATGGAGCAATACATGGGCTTATTTGAAGAGGGTTTTGGGTTGACAAGGCTGCTCTGTTTTAGGCTCTGCTCTCTCCTATAAGCCCACAGAGCCATTCTAGAGAAGGACTATTATAAATTAAATCCCTTAATTATGCCGTAGTATACCAGGAAAATGATTTGCCTGTGTACGTGGGGGTGTGTTTCACTTTCCCTGGGGAGGTGAAAATGAGCATTGTGTAACAGCTTAGGCATTTTTCAGAGTATTACACTCTCTCCAAGACAAGTATGTTAAAAAAGTCTTTGGGTTTATTTGTATAAGGACATTCTTCTAGAGCCCAGCAGGTAGTCTTTAGTCACTTAAAACCCACACAACACATTTGCATTTATCCATAGCACTTTTGCATGTTGAATGGGGAGTCTGGTGTGGCATTGCACAGCACAGGTACTAGAGTGTGTGGTGTGCAGTATCTGTTTGTTTTGAGACCCTGTTACTGCTGCAGTTGGAATCACAGCAGTGAAATCCTGAAAGGCACAATGCTGTTGGATTTCTCACCATGTTTTATCCTTTGCACGAGGCTTGGCCTGGCCTGCACCTCGTTTTCTAGGTGTGCATGTAGGCAGTGGAAAGGCAGTAATTCCTCCCTTTAATGTTTCCCAGGTTATTCAGAATTAATTCTCATGTCAGCAGACAGCTCGACCGTCACGGTTCGTCTCGTCCGCTCCTTCGAGCACCGCAATTTCCGACCCCTGGTGTACCACGGAGTTCCCCTGGATCAGACAGTGAAGGAGTTCATGGCTTTTGTGCGCAGGGGTAAGGCATGGCTGCCTCATTCCTTCCCTTCAGTCCAAGTGTTGCTGTCCCTCCACAAGGAAGTGGAGGGGAGCAAATGAATGGGAATTCTGTGGCTTTGGTAGAGATGCAGAATTTCTCTTTACATCCCCTGCGTGTTTTCCTTCCTTACATGAAAGGTCTGGAGTTAATAAGAGCTTCCATGGTTGGTGTGCCATGCTTGAATTTGGATGGACTGCTCCCCCTGCCCAAATCCCCATGTTTAGTCTAAAAGAAACAAGGGCGTTGCTGCGTTTGGCTCAGTGCCTCAGGCTCCTTGAGGGGTGCTGTCAGGCAAATATTCATAAATTAATAAGAATAAATTAACAGTATTTAGAAAGTGTTTGATCCTAACTACACAAATATGTGGAATGTGGGAACTCAAAATCTGTTTGTTATTTGTGAGAAAAGAGAATCTTGAAAATTTGTTTTTGACACTGTGTGGCCTCACTCTGCATGTTTGTTTCCGAGTTTCTCTCTCCATCTTGAGCTTTGTGGCGCAGATTTACTCATCTGAGGGCTTTCTCTTTTATAAGCCTGGTTGAAAGTGACATTGAATCTAAAAGATTAGACCAGCCCACACAGTGACTTGATAATTAGGGTGTTACCCTTAATCCTGCAGGTGTATTTCCACACACCTCAGTGGAGACATTCAAAGGGTACAAAATGACATAATTTGTTTTTTTTTTTTTTCATTAAGTCAGTTTAAACAAGTCTTGAGCTGTTATAGATGGTAGCATTTGAGCAACTCCGAGGACATTGCCCTGGGACAATGGGTGTCTTGTGTTTGGCAATTTCCGTATTTCTAGACAGTGACAGGCATGGCAAAGTCTTAGGATGCTGTTGGAAAACTGCAAGCACTTTCAGAACATATGGCACAGCTGCTGTTAGGAGCAAGAAAATGAAAACCAATGCTGCAAAACTTGCTTTTGATGTGTGAAATATTGCAACTCACTGTTATTTGAGACAAAGCTAATGTTTTGAACAAGACTTAGAACCTTGTTCCACGGGGGTCTAAAAGCCCTGTTCCATCCTTTACAGTAATCTGTTTTGCAGAGGATATTTAAGATAGATGGTTAAACTACTGAAGAAATCATGGCTTCAGCCACCTTGCTGCTGGGCACCCCGCAGGTCGCTGGGCCTTCTGAGGTCCTGCTTAAATCACAGGGAGCACTGCCACCAGGAAAGGTGTCGATGTTCCTGCAGTTACATATGGGCTGTGTCCTGCAAGGAGCTAAAGAGTTAATTTTCTACAGTCTCACTTCCTTTTCACAGCATGTTTACCTAAGGATTCAGTTCTGGGTGACAGTTGTCAGCTGTTTGTGTAAGGTAAAGAGAGATGCTGGGCAAACCATTAAAAGGATGTTCCTGGCAGGTTTCTGAAGGATCAGACTCCCGTGATCAATACCCTAATTGCACTGACTCACTGTCCTCATGGGGTGTTTTGTTCAGAGAGACTTCATGCTCAAATGGAATTATTCACATATGGAGTCACTACAGAATCTGGGCCAAAGGCTGTGTTTTAGCATTTGATGCTCAAACAAGTCTCCTATGTTGCAGATTTATTTTGATGCAAAGGATGCCCAGGGGATGCATACATTGCACAATAATGGAAAATGAAGTATTTGAAATAATTGAAAAAGAGAACTTTGTTTTAACTTTGTGCTTTTATTTAAATAGATGTGTCTTCAAGATCAGGACTTCCTCCTCCTTTTAAAAATTACAAGTATGGTAGGTGTTTTTTATTTTTCTTGTTTAAGTACTGTCAAATGATCACATGATATTTTACACTAGCATGTATAGAACTTAAAAGATAAATACTAATGTTGGTGCCAGTGCCTGCCTGCATTCACAATTCTATCCAGCTCTTGTAGCTGGAGTTATGCCAACTGGGATCTTGTCTGCAGAACTTGACCATTATTGTGAAGATCTGTTTTAATCTTTGAATTAGGCTGCATGGTTTACATTATTTGCTATTGGGAACAGATGGGTTTTGATACTAATTTTTTATTACTTTTTTTAAGTGCCTAACTCTGTTTTTGCCCTGATGAGCAGATTGTGATCTCAAAACACTTTGACATTACAAAGTGTGCTTACATACTTCAGTATCTATTTACTGATGGTGAGCTAGAAGCTGAAGGGAAAAAATAGATAATGCTTAAGACTGATATACTTAAATAGTTTACACAATATAAGGGAAACAGGGGAACTTTGCTCCAAGTAGATATGAAAGCTCTTAAATACAAGCTGGTGGTATGAAATAGCATGATGTGAAATTTAAGCTGATTTTATCAAAGCTATATGTATATTTCCTTTTTGTGCAAATTGGCGTGAACATACCAATTCATCTGTTTGGGACAGAGAAAACTTTTTAAATAGACTGAGTTACTTCCTTTCTTAGAGTTTGTAAACTCGGGTGTCAGTCATGTATCTTTTCCTAAACTTGGTAATTCTCAGAGTTCCCTTGGAGTTTTCCTGCAAGTGACCCTCTGTGTCCCATGTTCTTGGAGCTGACAAACTCCTTCCTCTATGGTGATTCAAAGAACTGAGTGAGAAATCTACTTAATACATGTGAAGGGTAATAAACTTTATTTGCCTATTTAAAAAAAGCAAAGGATGTTGAAACAGAGAAACATCTGGAAGTGTAAGTTTGAATTTGGAGGTGCCCTTCACCCTGTCTGTGGCTTTGACTGTTTGAGGGGTTCCTGTCTAGAACTGCTGCTCTCAGTTGTATCCCTGGTGCTGCCTGTCCCAGCTGCTAGTTCTTTCATCACTTGGAGATCAGTTTAGCTTTTCCCAAGACATATCTGGTGGTTGAGGGCCTGATTGTGCCCTGTAGGACTGAGCAGAACTTTAAAACCTGTTGCACCAGTTGCTGGGAGCCTACTCTTACTGTGATGGTGCTAACTGCAGAAAGATTTTCACACAGGAAAATCAAAGCCAGGTTCCTCACCTTCCCCTCAGGCTGTGAATCATCCAGGTTCGTGTTTTTGGCATCTCTGCTATCTCTACAGTGCTTTGCTGTCTTTCTTACCGTTTTGTGAGGAAAAGGCAGTGAGACTTCTGCATTAATAGTGCCAGTAAAAGCCATACTTTTTCTCCTGCTTTGTTTGGAAGTGCCAGAAATCTCGGTTGGATCTGGTTGTCTCTCACCTTGCCTGTTTCAGCTTCCTTCCCTGCAGAATTCAGCACCACTTTGTTTTAACATCATATATAATGCCATCACATTTTTGGACTTGGATTGGTGCTCCAATTCACATCTCAAAGCTTCTGACTTCCATTTTCTCTTAAATTCTTTGTATGGATTATTCTGGTTCTTGGTCTAGAGCTCTTCTGAGTCAGTCTTATCTTAGTACCTTGTCACCTTTTCATACCATAGTACCATAGTACCTTTTCACTGATGTTGGCAGTCTGGGTGCCAGCTTGTTCTATAATCTGCTTCTCAGTTTTATTTTTTTCATCCATGAAGGTGGAGCAGTATGGCAGGTAGTTCATAAAGTCACTTAGAAAGTGGTATCTTATCATTTGCCATGATAGACCTATTATCAGAAAAGGCAAGATAAAAACTTGGCAGTATGATTGAGTGGGATCAATTGGGGATGAAATAGCAAAGGCTAGTCAGAGGACTTAGCTTATGAGAAGAGACTGTAGTTTCATCTCTGTGACAAGAGTTAAAGAAGCCATTTAATAGCTCAGATGAAGCCATGGTAAACTGCTGGGTGCCAGTGTTGGAGTTCTGAGCAAGCAGAACTGAGACAATGCTTCAGGACATGACTGGACAAAGACTAGAGAAAAGGGAATGTACCAAAGTAGACCAGCACAGGCTGGGTTTATTTGCTGCAGTAGAAAGGTTTCATGATTACAACATATTTTTTCTGTGATTGCTTGGTCTTTTGTAATGTTTCTGTGCAAGATGGATCCTGGTAATTGCAATTTAATGTCTGTCTTGCTTCTAATACCACAGTTATTGCAACATGCCAAGGCTGCCTTCTCAGTGACCTCTGCAGTGCAAATACAGAGTACTTCTTACCTTATGTAATGTTTTAGTGTTCAAAATGGACCAGAATGGTATGGAAGCAAACTACTGAGTGGGAATGTGATCTCTGTTAGAATTTGAACATCTGAATACTTGCTCCTGGTACTTTGAAAGTTGGTTTAGCCAATAGTTAACTTTGCTGCATGTCGTAGTACAACAGCTGCATCCTTCTCTTACCAAACTATTGCAACATGTAATGTTCACTCAGTGCACAAAACTAAACTAGAACAGAACATGAGCAGACAAGCAGAACTGGTTCTTCTTCTTTGCTTGAAAGGGATTGATGTGTTACTTCAAATTTGTTCAAGCACAGTCTTCAGAGTTCAATATTTTTTTTAATTTTTATTTTTATTTTTTTAGTGTTGCATGGCTTTAAGATGTTCCCTCTGTATCTTTGTACTCATCCAGTTGCTTTAATGACTGTGTTATTTTCCCCTGTGTTTCCCTACTGTTAGCAAAGCCCTGCCCATCTTGCCGGAAGAAAGTAGTACTTTTGTTTTAATTTCTAAAAGCACTACACTGCACAAACGTGAAAGAAAAATTGTTGAAGAGGGTATAGCATTAAAGAGAAGAGGCTGTAGGTGTTCATGTAAAAGGAACTTGCTTAATGAAATTTCTACTGTGGGTGGTGGGTGTTGTATTCATGAGAAGGAAAATTTCAAGGGATGATCTGAAGTGATCAGGTTACTGTGTCTTAATTACTTGCTGCCTATCAACTTAGCTGTAGCAGTTGACAGTGCATAAAATGCTTGTGGTCCTGCCCCAATTGCATGTGTAAAACCTATTAAGTTAAAACACCCTAAGTGGCATTTAAATTGATGTGTTTTGACTGGCAATTGAGATGGTCATTAGTTGGTTATTGTAATTCAGCCAGCAGACAGAAGCCAAATAGGATGTGGTACCTTAATGTTGCATTGACTGCTTTAAGACCGTGGCTGCAGGACTGTGAGATCAAGATGTTTTTGCCTCTTTCAGGTTGAATACACAAAATTGTTAATAACAAAAGATTTTGAAGCTTCCCCTTTTGTTTGTTTGCCTTTCCCCAAGTACAACTTGTGTTGTGTGCTTATTAAGCCTTATTTTAGGAAAACACTGGTTTTTCTTTCAGATACAATGAAGATTATTCACCAAGCACACAAATCTAAGGTAAGATTATTATCTTGTGTTCTTCCCCTTTTGCATGCTTTGATGCAGGCAGAGCTCTGCATTGTCAAACAAGAGTGGAGCAGAGGAAATCAGTAAATTCCTATCTTTGTTTTCTGATTTGTAGACTGGTGAGCTTGTAGTGAGTTTGGAAGATGATGACAAACTGATTTTGCAGGAAGACAGCACGCTGAAAGCAGCTGGAGTAGGTAGGAGTACATTTGTATTGACTGAAGATGCTGTTCCTTGTGGTAGCATTAAACTGATAACTGGCTGATTATGTTTGGACAGGCTGCTGAAAAGTAAATGCTATTTCTGATGCTCTTTACATGACTTGATAATTATTCAGGGAAGCATTATTCAAATCATTGGTCTGAGGGCAGCAGGTATCTGCACTGCAAATGTTCAGAATGCAAATTGTGATTTTTAGAGGGTATGCTTATAATTCTGCTGAGAGTAATTTTAAATGATTGACAGATAGGTTATTAGTACCGTGTCTGCTTAGTCTTATCAGTAACATTTAAACTGATGTTTTGGTTAGAAATGTAAGTAGTGGAACCAGCATGGAATAATGAAATAAGATTAGATTTGTTTAATGTGCAGCATACAGTGTCTGATAGCCAGATTGCTCAGGAAGGCTCGAGCAGTATCATTTAGAGAATGTGCTGAACATAGCAAAGAGTTGAAACTTGACCTGATTTTGACAGGAGACTACATATAGGGCATGTCTTTTGGTAATAATGTAAAGAAATGTCTGCCATGATAAAATTGATGGTCCCTGAATGCCCTTTGGGCTTCTCATAAATGTGGCTGAATGACTTTGTGGCAGCAGGGTACTTAGGGGATGTGGTTGCATTCCACCTTGATATGGACATTTGCTCATTTGGATCTGATTTGCCTGGCTGGAAAGCTTTAACTGCCTGTGCTCTAAGTGCAGGGGCTTCACAGAGGAGGCTCCCTCCTGCTCCTGCTGCTCACTGGTTGCTCCCCAGCTACTGAGTGGGATTTCTTTCTCGTTTTCTTTGCTCTCCTGTTTCCTGCAATTTATTTTCTGGTTTTAAGTGATTGGGATGACTTTCAATGTTTTTCTCTGGTGTGAACTACAACTGGTTCCAATATACCTTTCCTGAAGGTCTTTGAGTGTTCCTGTAATATGAATCATAGTTTTTACTACACCAGATCTTTTTGTCTGTTGGATGGGGGGGAAAAAAGTGAGGATTACTGGCATCCAAGCCTTGCAGATTTGTAATTTAGTTAGCAGAAGATTTGTTTAACCATGATCTTTATCTATGTAAGGCATAAAAGGCAGTGCAGTTCAGGAGAGGAACTGATGACAGTGCCAAATGTTGAATTAGAAATAACAAAGCTGTCTTCTTTTAAAAAGGTATGGATGAGTATTTGTATATATTATCTGCCTTTGAAAATGGGTTTGTAGCAGTGAACCAGTTGGATGTGATATCAAAAAAGGTGTCAAAATATCAGACTAAATGTTACAGTGAAAGGAAATAGGAATGCAGCAGCCTTTTCTGTGTCTCTGTACAAAGGGAGGGGTGGTTAATTTAGGGCAGAAAATGATTTAAAGCTGCTTTCTTTTCTTTTTTTTCTGAATAACAGCAATTTTTAGTCATTAGTATGCAGAGGATATTTATGATAGAAGAGGAAAACCCATTCTTTGGAAAATGTAATGTGCCATTATGTCATTTTGAATTTGGATATGTTCCAGTGTATCTTGATGGGAAAATTAGCTAATTTAGGGGTGGGGTCTTTGTAATAAAATCTTGAAGATTTTACTTTTCTCCTTCAACAAGAAGTAGAAAAGAGTAAGCCAAGGAAGTGATATCATGTATCATGTACCACTGGTCCTCATTTTGTACAAAAATGATAAATTTTGTACATTTTCTGTAAATCAGTAAGAAAATTTGAAATCTCCTATTGAGATACAAAATTTTTCCCACATTTAGTCTGTACAAGACTTATTAGAATAAAACAATCAGAATCACCTTTAGAAAATCTGGGAAGTTCTGATACATGCAGAACATTTTTCTAAGCTGCAGTTGATTGCCCTTGGCACTATGCAGGGTTGGGCTAGAGAGTTATAAATTATGAGGACATTAGATAAGTATCCTCAGGAAAGCCTCTGTAGTAGTCATTATTATTACAGTTATTATCCAGTCAGCAAAGTTAATGCTTGCATTTTTTTTAAAGCAGGGTGTATGTTAATAAAGTGTTCAGTATTCATTACAAATGGTCTTGTCTGTTTTCTAGTTGAGATTCTAAAATCCCTTCTACTCTTTTTTGTTTCTTTTTTTTTTTTTGCAAGACTGGCAGACTTCATTAACTTGAGGTTTAATTTAAAAAACGAATGTGGAATTTATTGGCTCAGCACCTTAAAGAATTTCATGTTTAATAATTGTGAAGGCATTCCATCAGATTTGTCTCTGTTCTGAATTAGTAATGTTGCTGACTTATTGTTTTAGAAAAGGAAGTCCTTGACCTACTGGGTTGAAAGAATTGTGACTGTTCTGAACCTTTGTGGGTCCTTTAGCTCTGCCATATCCCCTGTGAATAATTAGAGGTATTTGAAGGTATTGCTGGAGAAGCCAATTTGTGTCTTTCACTTTGCATATTGTCAAAGCCTCATGAATTAATCATCAGCAGGGCAAAAAATTAACTTCTTCAGACACATATTTTGATGGGTCATGAGGGAGAATGTAAAGTGATCTGTAAAATATTCTACTGATCCTCTAAGTATTAAATTATTATACCTACAGGCTAATTTAATGGGAAGAAGAAGTTTCTTTCTCCCTTTCCTAACAGAAAAATGCACAAAAAAAAGAGTGCATCATGCTTCATTACTTTCCTAGCATTTGAAGGTGTTAGGAATGCCATCACTTAATTTGCTGAATGCTTTTACAAACAATTCTGAAGGCTGTGTTAAACAAATCTTGAGGGGGTCTTGTGCACATATTTATTTCTATACATTCATGTTCCTGCTGGTTTGTTTGTTTGGGGCGTTTTTTAGTGAGGTTTAATGACATGTTTAATACTGGCAACCTTTTTCAAAAATGTGATGAGGGAAAAAAAATGGGTGGTGATTTATAATTGTCTTTGACCATAAAGCTGGTAATTGTCTTCTAAGATTCTAAATAGCTGGCTGTTGGTGGTTCATTCACTGGTGTGCTAAATATTAAATTTTTTATTTGTTCTAGCAAATGAGACGGAATTAGCATTCTTCTGTGAGGAAGATTACAGAAACTACAGAGCTAATCCTGTTTCGGCCTGGTGAAGATCCCAAGAGATTGTTTTGTTTTCCCATACCTGTTGTAAATTTTCCTTATTCTGCTTAATGAGATTTTTCTTAAAGATCAATAAATCCTAGAGGATTTCTTTGCAAACAGTGCAATTCCCTTCCTATAGAAATTAATTTCTGTCAGTATGCTAAGGCTGAGAGAAGAAAAACTGGGGGACATAAGTGACTTTTTTCTTCCTTTTCTTTTTGCTGTGCTTGGCTCTTGAGCCTCAGGCAGTGCCATCCCTGACCCGTGACACACGTTCTTGGTGTGATCCCACAGCAGGCAGTAACTGCACATGGAAATTAGAGAATGCACAGGATGATCCCATCACAGTACCAACTTCTAATGAAAATGAAGTGAAACCTCCTTCAAATAAAATGAAATATTTTATGACCAAATCACTGGGTATTTTAAAGAACTTGAGAAGAGAATATCTTTATTTCTAGTCACAGCTTTACTTCTCTCATTTTATATTTGGTCTCTTTTGTTTAAATAGTGCAGACTGGCCAGTGTTTCATGCTTTTCAGTGGTGAATGCTTTCCATTATGCTCTCTTCCAGCCCTCTTTAGCATGCTGAAAGGGACAAATGGCTCTTGGGAGGCTTTTGTGTCCACAGACCAGCTCGCCTGTTTCTAGCTTTACTTCATGGAGACCTTCACATGGGGGTAGCAGCTCGGGTTCTGCCAGGACATCAGCCTGCCTAAGGAGGAGTTGGGCATTTTTCCAAGTGGAGTGAAAGCTCATGGTTTCAGTTTTAAGAATAAAACCTGAATGATTGCATTTTTTGTGAGGAGAGGCCCAGCCTGTGAGCCACATGTCTTTGAGGCTGGAATTGATTCCTTTATGCTCTCCATGAGGCAAATACTCTGTTGCTATGTGTTTGTTCTTGGTAATGCTGGGTTTTCCTACTACATAGGCCAAATTAAGAATAATAGAAAATAATCACGCATCCAATAAAGTAGTTTTAGGTAGACATCACTCATGAAATGCTTTTTAGGGGGTACCCACATGGGACACTGTGCCTGTAAGCCTCCCTTCACTGCAATAGGAATGATGCTGGCTCTCTGCCTTAGCAGGCTTTTTGGGCACAGCCTCTGCTAAATTGAATGAGATCTCACTTGCAATTGCTTTAGACCTACACATCTATGCTGAGCTCTGGGTGGGAGCTGACAATGCTATATCATGAGACTTTCTGGAGGAGTAACCCTACCATTTCCTAGAGCTTTGATTATTGTTTTTATTGACATGTGTGCTTTCCAGAATAGCTAAGTAAAATTTCCCTTTATTTTAGATGTAGGGCCAAAGAACCCTCTGTTTATTGTTCCCACCTCATTTTCTTCATCTTTCCTTACAACTCTCTGGTTTAGGCTGTTTGACTCACCAACAGCTTTGCTTCAGAATTTTATTCTCTAGTGAAATACCTCTACCACTTCCTCAGCTGTGATTAAATTACTGTATTATTGTCTTGTAAGGAGAAGTCATGTGTCACTGAAGACATCTATGTTCTGGGATGCCATTATGCATGCCCTGATGAATTTATGAGGAGAATTTACCTCTTGCCTTCTCTTTCTGTCCAGGCAGCCTCTCTATTGCTGGTACCTGCTCCCCAAACATGGGCCCACGTTCACCCTTCTTACAGTCTCATGTTGGCAGATTTATGTGGCTAATACAAATTTTTGCTCATCTTATCAGACAGTTCAAGCTGATGCATTGCACTCCAGGCTATCTCATCTTTGTTCAGCCAAATTTACAATAAGAAAGGTAACTTTATGAGAACAGATATTGTACCAGAGACATCAGTGTCTCAGGCTGGCCTGCCAAGGCATCTAAATGGTGTCCATCAGCACATGCAGACTCTCAGACTGAGCATGACTGAATTTGGTCTCCAGCCCTTCCAGACAGATTTGGATTAGTTTTGTGATCCCTTTTTTCTAAAGCATTTGTGTTTGAAAGAGTCACCACATTTTAACAATTGTCCTTTCTGGGCTTGTACAGTTCCAAACTTGCAGTGTCACATCAAGTGTGGTACAGTGGAAGAGCAATTCTACAGCATCAGGGAGAAAAACTCTAAATGTTCTACTGCAAATATTCAAGAATGATGTGACTGGCACTCCAGATTAACTTCTCTTTCCAAGGGAAGAGTTAAACTACTGCTTTGTGAGCTCAGTTTGTTCTGGCAATGGCACTTCATTGGCTTCTTTCTCCAGCAGCACAGTGGAGCCTTTTGTAATGCTCTCAATGGCCATACTTGTAAACTGGTTTCTTCCTGAAGTGTTTTTCTACTGTGGGGTTTTTTTTTTTAAATTATTTATTTTATTTAAAATTTTTTTTTGTGACTTTCAGTAATGCTTCTTTCAAGTAAACCCCACAAACCCACAGATAATAACTGAAAACTTGTTAGGAAAGATGCTGTTCCAGCATATTTTTGGTGGGATATGGTACAGCCTTGTATCAAAGTATGTTTGGTTCCAGGGTTGTTGAGTACTGAACGAAATCTCTGAATGCTGGCTAATAAAACAGTAAAGACTGAGATGTCTTTGCCCATGTTGTTTTGAAATCCTCTTTCTGTTGAAGGAAATCACAGAGTTAGTACTGTGGTTTGTTATCCTGGCAGAAATCACAAACTGCAATGGTGTACAGCTGCTTTTAAACTAAGGTGTAGTGGGGTTAGTCATACTGCTTTGCCAGTGGTCTTAGGCATTGTGGGGTTAATAAAGATTTGTGTTACAGTGGCATGTTCTTGGAACCACTCACTATTTTTTTTAATTAAACAAAAGAACAATATCCAGAGAGGACTCTGAAATAAAATGAAATTTATCCTGGGTTATAACACTGTAGCAGGGAAAGGTAGTCAAACTGGAACCCTGGGATGGTGTGTCAGGCTTGGCTGTTTCTTGGAGAAAAAAAAATCATTTCAGAGAGACTGGAGTTTTGATTAGGAGGTGTGAAAGCTGAAGAAGAAGAAGAGAGGAAATTTGGAAAGGAATTATCATAACTAGGAAGAAGAAGTAATATTGTAACTGAATAAACAGCAAAATCTGCATGTGCAACAGTCTTGATGCAGAGATACCAGAGCAATGCTGCTTTCTGTACAACTAAAGGTATAAAAATGCTGTTTTTTCATAATTTTGGAACTGAATTAATGAACTACTCCAATAAACATCTTTTTTTTTTCCTGGCTTTGTCACATTATACTTTCTGCATCCAACAGTTTTAATTATTTTTCTGGCCAGAGGTAGTTATGTTGCCTTTTGAAGAAGCCAGAGTTAAGAAAAATCTGAGTTGACCAGTGGGATAAAGGACAACTCAAAGATCTGATCAGCACCACTTCTACAGTTAACTGCTTTATGTGATGTAAACATTGAGATTTAAAGGTGATCCAGAAACATATTGTAAGCTGTGGTGTTTCTCTTTCACTCCCTGGCAGTATTTAACATCCCCTGAGAGATCACTTATTTAAAAATGAGCCTGCAGGTAGCAGTCCAAGAGTTCCCACAGCCACGAGGGGACATCCATGGGCCCTGTCCTTGGAAGGTAATAGCCACAGAAATCCAGAGTGTCCAAAGATCAAGAAGCTAAAACCAGAGCAGAGGCTGCTCATTCTTGGTCTCCTGTGACCGATGGAGCCCAGATAAACGCCTGAGGCAAATGCACACTTTTGTTTATTGAACAGCTTGGACTGAGCTCAGGCTTGCTGGTTGGCAACTGATGCTCTTTCACTGCTTCCTTTCCATAGAACTGCAGGCACGGATTTACAAGTGATTAATGAGTCAAGAAATGCCCAGTAGACAACTTTTGTTGCTTTCTATTTTATCAGGATATTGACTTTTCTCTCCTCCCCATTTCCTATTGAGTCAGAGAAGCAACACAGCTTCAAATGTTTCCCCAACCACTTCCCTTTGCTTCTTGCTGCCACTTCTGCTGATGTGCAGTGCCTTAATGGTGAGGTTTGCACCTCATCTGATATGCCATAGCAGCGTTTCCTGTGGCAGTGAATGTACACTTTTTAAAATTTGTTCATGAAAAAATATGCTTTGGTATGGAGACTTTTTCTGGACTCTAACTAATAGTGGGCAACAAAGGCTCTTTTCTTGCTTTGTAGGAAGACTTGCACTGGAGGACAGCACTGTCCCCCAGTCAGTGGAAACAAAAATGTTTTTATCGTAATGGTTTGAATCTTGTAAGGAAATGAAAGAGTTACATCAGGAAAGGAAAAAAAAAAAAAAAAAAGGTCAGTGAAAAGCCAGGACCCATTGCCATGAACTCTTTGCCTGCAGAGAAAGCCACCAGATGTCAGCACAGCCTGTTCTTTGCTTCTCCAGAACCTCTGTAAGCCAAGAGATGTGTCATGTGTATGAAAAGTGCTTATCTGTGAACTGGGCTCGCCTCTGAAGTCTGTGCTAGGGATCTGGTGATGAAAGCCGAGTCTTTCCTTGCAGAAAATATTTCTTTTTATATTAAAATCAAAATGCAGCAAATTGAACTGGTTTCAGTGCTTAAATTCCTCGTTAGAGAGCATCCTTTGCAGAGCCAGTTCCCAGCGTATCTAAATCTTTGCATGCTATGAGGAGGCATTTGCAGAACATTAATTTGAAGAATTGTCTGGAAAAGATCAGTGTTAATTTGCTGAGGTTTTGTAAAGTTGATTTTAAGTATGCCTATTTCTTTTAAACACCAGGAAAACCATCTGGAACAGACACACATGCAAAGCAGAGCAAAACATCTTCAGCAACACAGCTTAAACACACAACAAATGAATCCTCCATGCTTCTGACCCTAAGCTCCCACTCCTCCTCCTTGTAGTGCAAGGGCTGAGGAGAAGCTGGTTCCCGAGCTGGGATGAGCTGAGGTGGGATGTGAGTTTCAGAGCCCAGATCCAAGCACTGTGCACAGCTTTATGCTGTCAGTGATTAGAGCATGCATAGATGCTGCCTGGTTAAAAGGCTCTATTTGAATTTTTGCATAGAGACAAGGTGTGACAGAGATTTCTGCTCAGATTCCCATCACTTTTCTTGCAGCAGCTTGCAGGTGCCAGGGAGGTGTTGAAAAGAGGGAAGTTAAAGTGGCAGCTAGAGCCTGAGTGATGTAAATATTCCTTCCTCCTGTTTTGGGCTGCTTCTTTAGTTCCTTTCTTCTCGCCTCATCACACTGGTGTTGTGTTAGGGGTTTGCCACAGCTTGCTGTGTATGGGAACTGCTTCTCAATTCCAAACTACCACTAGAACCCTCATTGTTCACATTCTGGAGGTGATGCAAGAGAAATTGCAGCTCTGCAGTCTGCAGGGGAAGCCTGTGGTGTGCATGGGTGCAGGCAGCGTGGTGTGCAGGTTGTCTGGGAGGTGTTATTCTTGTTTCTGTCCTTTCTACACAGCACCAGGTTCTGCTTTGCTGGGGACCAGGATCTTGTCTGGAAGCTTGGCACACATGGCAGATAGATGAGAGGAGATGTGGGTGTTTTATGTCCCTGTAGAGGTGGTATTTTTGATCAGATATAGATTGTAACTTCTGTTTGTTATCATTCTCTCCTTCTGATACCAATAGATTAATTCCTTTGTAGTGGGACAGGAGCAGCTAGCCAGAAGAGTGGGAGTTTCAGTTGGTAGTGAATACATTAAAGGGCTCAGTGTGACAGATTAATGTAAGAATTTACCTTTGTCTGTCCATTCCTGCTCTTGGCAGGTGACTTACAGTGTTGTGTACCAGGAATGTCAGTGACTACTGTAAGAACTGCTGCTGTCTGCTCTCATTCCACACCTGAGAAGGTTCAATTCTGCTTTCTAACCTAAAGCAAATGGAGCACTCTCTTTAAGAACAGTTTGGGAAGCCCCCTTGTGCCAGAGGAGGTTTAGATTGGATATTTGGAAGGATTTATTAACCAGAAAGGTTGTGCAGCATTAGAACAGGCTGTCCTGGGAAATGGAGTCACCAGCCCTGGAGGGATTTACAAGACACTTGTAGGTGTGGCACTTGGGTTGAGTGTGGGCTTGGCAGTGCTGGGATAACAGCTGGACTCGATGATCTTAAAGGTGTTTTTCTGTGCTCCTGTGATTATGTCCATCCAATTGGAGGGCACCAGCTGGCTTTAGAGTCAAAGAGCAATCTAGCCATGACAGCTTTATATCCCAGCAGGTACTATCATGGCACAGATATTCCCCTGCCCCAGCCCTCCCAAACCAAATGCAAAAGGTTTTGCAGAACACAGACTTGAATCTTGCACAGAACTTTGTTTTCTGGAGTGCTGAACAAGACAGCTACTTGAAAGCAGACATCTGGCTGCAGACAGCTTTTAGGGCAGCAGGCTGGCATGCAGCAGCTGAAGGTAGCTAATTGCAGATCAGATATGGGAAACAGGTAACAAGAGTGACTAAGCAGCTGAACAGCAGCTGTAGTGCTTCTCCAGTGTTGAGATTTCTAAATCCAAAGCAGATTATCCTTCTAGGAGGATGTACTTGTACCACTTTAAGTCTTTGAAAGGTTTCAGTAATAGTATGGCTTGTGATATGTGATCCTCCTGACTGGCCCCAGACAATTATGGAGCTGGCTTATTTTTAGTCTCTGATTATGAAGATCCTGTACATGCTCTGCTAACAAGAACTGTCCCTAATCACGGATGGTATCTGTGTATTCTGTGCTCAGCTTTAACATCTGCGTGGTTCTCACACACACACACACAAAAAACTTATGCAGAAATTCTGCAAAACTGATGCTGCTTATTAAGGCACAATAAATATATAAAAGAAAACTGTCCTAATGTGACAAATCTCATTCCTCAAACCCAAGGCACAGTCTGCAAATCCCGCTAGCTCAGTGTGTGAAATTCAGAGCTCAAGGATAACACCAGGTTTTGCTGCTGATTGTAGCTGTGCTGGCCATGTTGGAGACACTGGAGGAAATACATTGCAGAGAGATGCTGAAGCAGGTGCATCCCCCTAAAGATTTAACTATAGTTTGATATATCACTTTGTGAGTAAATCCCTTAAGAGCAAGAAACCATTTCCACTGTTTAAAGCCTTGTATTATAAAACAGAAGGAGTGAGAGAACTGTACCTGCAGAGGTTAATCTTCAGCTCAGGAATTTAAATTAACTCATTAAAATCAACTTACAAATTAGCTCATTAAAATGCAACACTGCAGATCCAGAAGTTGGTTGATCTGGCATGCCACTTGTATGAAAAAGTGACTTAAGAAGCAGAGAACAAATCTATAGTATTAAAACTCCATCTTTCTTTGCAGTCCCCCATCTGGATCTCCTTCTTCCTTGAACTCTGTATCAACAGCAATTTCTATTTAGTGAATTAAGCTTTTTCTGTGCTACAAGTGCTATGTAATACCAGTATCCCCCTGTAATGAAATATATGTCTGCACACACTTGTGCCCTCTCACACACATAGGAACTCTGTAATTGAGCCCTGGCACCATGGGTCACAGCAATGATCATTTTATTACCTTGATAATGAGATTCTACAAGCTGCTGGCTGTAGTGGGTTTTATTTCTTGGTTAAATTCTAGATAAACACACTACTCTACTACTGCCATTAAAGTGATTGTTTTGTTTGGGGGGAGGCAGGAAAAAAGACTCACACAAGTTCTGATATAATTATGTAGATCTGTTCAGAATATCTTTATAGAACTACAGAGGCCAGAGATTAAAACTGGCCTTATTCTTACAGCTTTTCATTTGGTTCTTATATATCCCAGAGGCACATAGTAGGCAGTACAGAAAATAAAAATACAAAGATTTTTACATTCAAGCTATATATTCTGCAACAAGATACATATATTTATGTGTGTGTGTATACATATATACAGAGAGAAAGAAAAACTTCAAGTACAAAACCAGTTAAACAGTAAATTTTAAGCCAATCTCACTGAATGTCCTATACACATTAAAAATGCTTAGGGAAAAGATAACTGAAAAATTCCTTACTTTGCTTTTCAGCATTGCAAAATCAGAAGAAATTACTTAAACTGTTGTGTCCCATGTTTTAAGGACCAGATGCATACAGAGGGCATCATGTGAAATGCTGTTCTGCATTTATAAGGATTGGTTTTGGTTTTCAAAAGGGATGGTGGCTGGCTGCCAGTCTGTTGGCACAGGCATTACCTGGAGACACACGACCAGCTTTTTTTTTTAGATGCTGTACAGCTGCAGTAGCTGTGGGGATTTTGAGCTGGCTTGTC